AAAAGATGATCAAAAATTGATTATACTATCTTAAATTTATTATCTGCCTTCTGAAACTGAAAGAATAATGAAAAAATTCAATGTTCCACTGAATCACCTGTTTAAAAGAAAAAGTCTGCCTGAGACAAATCTGTATCAACAATGAAAAGACATCAACTATTTTTTTCAGCAAAAAAATATTATATTTCAGAAACAAGTTATATTTCAGTTAAAAGGTTGAAAGACAACTATGTGTTTATGAAATATGTTGATGTAAATCACTGAACAATAGCTCAAGGGTTTTGTCTCGGAAAATATGTTATACTCTAAAAGAAGGCCAACACAGAAACACAGATCTGCTAAAACTAGTTTAAAATAATTTCTTGTATGAAACATACAACTTTAGCAATTTGCAAATACGAATAAACAGTTAACTATAAGCTATGCTATATGCTATTGCTGTCTATTAAGAATAGGATGAAACTGCCTTAAACTTCACACTGCACAGCTCTAGTCTGTAATCATGGACTGACGTCATATCAGATGCCCTAATGAATAGACATGTAAATGCTTTCTGAAGCATTTATTTAAAACAAATCTTGGCACAGATATGCAATCCCCCTACCAATTCAACCATGTTGTTATGCCAGAAGATCAGTAATGTCAGTGACTGTGAGAAAAGTAACCTGCCGTATTCCATTAGATTTAATTTAAACATAGCAATGGCATTGAGTCAGAAGAGTGTTATGTTCAAATGACAGTTCATTATGTGTGTGACCTTAGTTGTCTCTAAGTCTCCTCTTCCTCATTCTTTTATTCCATTCAGAGGCCAACTGGGATGTCATATAAAAGACCTAGAAAAGAATGTTATATAGCCACTTCTGCCACTGTATGGAGGGGTCCTGGAAATTTTCAAACATCATTACATAAGCAGAGGATATAACCTGTGTGTACAGCTCTCTGAGGTGATTTGATATCATTACTGAGCCCTTCCCAGAAAAACAAAAACAAAAGAACAAACAAAAAAACCTCAAAATTTTGCAATCTCTTAAGGCAATATTCCCTCAACTTCAGACAAAACTCCACATCACTCAGGCTATTCTTACTTAATATTTTCTAAATCACTTTTTCCATTTTATTCTTGCATAAGTCAAGATTCAGATGTATGACTTAAAATCAATGGTTAGTAGTTTTAAATATAAGTATGAAAATAAAATTTCAGGAATTCATGACAAGATTAATTCTGACCATATGAATTATATTGTATCTGGCAGGGGGTTATCATCTCAGCAATTGCTACTTAAAATTTTAATGTAGTTATGAATATTTGCAGAGATTATATTATTCATAAAAAGTTCAACTGCCATGAAATATTTCTGATAATTTACAATACAAGTGGAAAAAAGAGACAATGAAACTTGGGATTCCCAAAAGCCTCTAAAGCTCATTAAGAAACACAGGTATTTTATTCCAATGTATAAATGTTTATCAATTTCGATTGTTCAACACAAAACATCTCCCCCACCCTTGTTATGGGTGGGTGAATCTAGGATGTCATACATAGTGGTAAAGTCGTTAGCACTGAGCATCACATTTCCTGACAGAATTACAAAGCATCCTTGAGAAGACTCCTGACCGATGATAGGAAATGTATTCAGTGTGTTTCTAGTGCCAACAAGGAATGTCATTAGGTTGGCTTTTCTAGAAAGACTGAGAGAATCAGGTTTTGTTTTTGGGTTCTGTTGTTGTTGTTATTGTTTTGTTTTGTTTTGTTTTGTTTTATTCCTGTTAAGAGCTGATTTAGAACAAGAAGCAACCCCTGGACATCAGAGAAAAGTATGCAATGAAATTGAGATTATGCAAATCAGAAAAAATATGAAATTTCCTTTTGATAGTTTCATAGTTTCTAGACTAGTTTTCTAGGAAAATGTTTTCTTACTAATATAAACAAATAGGAAGAGGCTTGCTACTATTTGCTACTAAAACCATAGACCATGTTTATTCATATCATAGGTTATGAAATTATTTTGGTACATTTTATTTATACTTGATTTTAAATCACAGAACTAACCATTCTGAAAAACAGTAATTATTGAAATCCAGTCAATAATGTAAGTTATATAGTCCATTATTTCATAGACAGTGGTGACAGGTTTTAGTGAAATGTATGCTTCTTCATTTACTCTGATAGTTAATTACCATTTTCAAAATATATTGCAATTTTGTGTTGCCCGTATAAATTATTTCAGTTATTTGAATTAGGAGGAAAATCAAAGAAAAACTAATTCTTCAAGGAAGACAATTCAGTGAAGCTTTGTGAGCTCTACTCTAGCACTTATTCTGTTATACAAGCACCCGCATTTTACTTATAAGATGAATGCTTTAATTACACGTACAGTAGTATGCTGGCTAGTTTTATGTTTACTTGACAAATGTTAGAGTCGTCTAAGAGAGTACACCAACTGAGAAAATGCCTTCATAAGATTGAGCTGTGGGCAAGCCTGTAGAGCATTTTCTGAATTAGTGATTGATGGTGCACGGCCCAGGTCATTGTGAATGTGGTCATCCTTGGGCAGGTGGTCCTTGGTTATATAACAAAGTAGGATGGACAAGCCATAAGAGGCAGGTCAGTAAGTAGCACTCCTCCATGGCCTCTGTATCAGCTCCTTCCTCCAGGTTCCTGTCCTGTTTTCCTGTTTTTAGTTCCTGTCCTGGCTTCCTTCAATTATGGACTATGATTTGGAAATGTAAGCCAAACAAACCCTTTCCTTTCCAATTAGCCTTTTGGTCATGGTGTTTCATCTCAGCAATAGAAACTCTAACTGAGATAGGTGGGATTGTCTAATGGAGTATTTTTATGTTATCAGCAAAGTATAAGCTGGGATAAAAACTCTTTAAACTACTGCCCACCAGGTACTGCCAATGAGTAAGTGACTTATTAACCAGTTGCCTTTGTGAATAAAGGAACAGTATAGTGCAATAATACTTGCCTAGCACATACCAGATTATAGGAATGATACTTGGCACTGAGGAGAAAGAATTAACCAGAGACTATTGATATGACTAATAGAGAAAATACGTTCAATTCAGAAGCAGAAATTGGCAAGCTTACTTACTTCTTTGCCTATACAACAAAAACATTCTATTCCACATTATAAGGCAAAGTGTCCTTTGAAATATATAACTATATTCATCTTTTTATCTATACTAATGTATACATACATCGAGACAGAATATGTAGACAAATGTTAAAACTGATAAGGCTTTTTTTCCATGAAGTAAAACTATTATATCAGCAATAAAGTCATAAAATCATTTAAATGAAGAAGTCATGAGACACTATAAGAGGACCTAAGTATATTCATTCAATATTTCATTAAAAAATAATATGATTTTTCAATTACTTCAAGGAAGAAGAATAAGATGTACCCAGGAAAGCATGAATCATGAGTGAGAGAGGTGGGATTATACAAAGGTTTTACTCTATGGGAAGAAATTCTAGGTAATAAGGGGAAAAAATCACACCTGATACAAGTCCACACAAAATCCTCCTGACACTCTCATATCAGAGGCAAGAGATTTGTATTCCAATGCTAAGGTCCAGGAGGGTGAAGTCAATGTAAACATCAGAACACAACATTCTACAGAGATTCTGTGTTTTACTTTGTATGCCTACCTTCCTTTCTATTTATTTTTATCTTTAATGACATCTTATATCAATACTTACAGAGTAAGCCACTAAAAAGATTTAGATGACAAGAATACCCACACATACAAAAATTCAAGCTTGGAGTTTTTGATACCTTATTGCGCAATATTAATGAAAGACAGGAAGTGGATGTCAAATTTGGAATAAGAGTGGCCACTTTCTTATTCAATGAATCCATAGCAACTCTGAAAAAAGCTTTCATAGGTGTTACACCATCCTACCCATTTTGCCTAGAATTTCATCCACAAAAGCATATGGCTTCACGAGTCATTCAGAGAAAACTTTCAAGGGTGAATACAGACAAAAAAATGGATGAGAACTAGGAGGTGGGGAGGAGAGAGCATGACATGAGATTGACAGACTTTCCTAGCAAGACTGAGAGAAGATGGGATGTTACATGCAGAAAGCTCCAAGAGCCATCTTCTGCATGCCTCAGAGTCCCACTGAGAACAGAGAAACGCCAGAAACAGAAACGCCACATCAAATTCTCAAACAGCGCCAAGCACTTGGCTCTAACTCTCCCTGTATCTGAGCAACCCCAGGAGTTCCCAGGTACAGGAGTCAATAAACTAGACCCTCTCTTGTCTTTAAGCTAGATTTCTATTACATAGAAAAATGCCCCAAATGTCACCGACAGAGGAAAGGATTCAAGTTTAGTTTTCATTTATCAACTCAAACTCACAATACCTCTGGGAACCTTCCGTTTAAATGGCAAAGTCAACATAGCCCTGGAGATTTTTTCCAAACTCAATCCCGATGGATATTTCAAATGACACTATTACACAAACTTTGGTATAATCCAGTCTCTTTGAAGAAGAGACTAGATGATAAAGAAGAAACTCTATCTAGCATCTAGAATCTTCTGCTATCTCCCTGGTTGAACATATAGTCTACATATACTTTGAAACAATCAAGATTTTAATGAAGGAAAAATAAATCAGTTAACATTCAATGTGTAATTTACATCTCTTACATTAAAGATTTATTTTTGAAATTTTATATTTATCCATCTAAGTTTGAGTGGAACATATATTTTGAAGTAAAAAAAAAACACTTATACCAACTGTTTGTTATAGGCCACAGTCTGTCAAAAAAAATTCAATCATATATCTATAAATAAATATTGTATGTAGCCTCAGACAGGGAAATCATAAATACCATTCACCTGCTGATCTCATAGGCCAATTTGAAAAAAAAAAGTTATTTCAGAAAAATAGATATCAACATCCCCATTCCCATTACTTAACTCAATGGTCTCTCTCATAGCAGGTTTCAAACAGGAACCTAACCAGAGAAAGCAAGGCATACTCACAGATTATACAGCATGTCAGCCATGTTGCTGCGGTAGTATAAAGCATTTCTATAGGCGCTTTCAGCTTCAGAAATTTTACTCTGACTCTTCAGAACATTTCCAAGGTTACCCCACGCTGGCAAAAAGAAAAAGAAGCATTCAGGCTGGGTGTCAATGCAATTATATATGACATAATATCCATCCATCAGGAAGTACCACAGGGGGCAAAAATCCTTCATAAAACATTTTATGGGAAAAAATTTATTTCCTTTATACTCTAATGTTTCATCAAGCTAGGAGATTAAATACATTTGAAGTCTAAAATAATTAAAGCAATCATTATGGCTCAAAGCTGATACACACATACAGTTCATCGCAACGCCAAGAACAATGTTATCTTAAGATCACCTACAAACTCCATGTTCTTTCAAGTTTCCGTAGGGGTCTTCGTCGTCTGAAATTATTGTATACATACGGGACTGGAAGCAGTAAGAAATCATCTTAAAATAAACCAAGATTTCATCCAACTATGAAAGAACTGATAAATGCTATAGAACACTTGAAGATGAAAAGCCCAAGAAAAGTAAACAAGATCAAAGCCACAAAGAGACTTAATATGCGTCAGAACATATAAGGAGAATATTAAGCTTCTGACCATAAGTAAGTACACAATATCTGTTAAAAAATGTGGGGTATTAATTCTAAAAGGAGATGTTTTGTTAAGTAGGAAGTTGGAGATGAGAAAGCTTATACTCACTGAGCTCTATCTCTTTGAGTTATTACGGACTATACTGAAAGAATCAAAAGTGCCTAACATATCCGTTTTTATGCATTAAAAACATGAAGAATCTTTCACTGCCCAATCCCCCTGTATTTTTCTGAACACTCCTCAGTTAACCTTAGCTAGTAAATATAATGTGCCTTGTGTCCTTTCATTATCTAGAAAGAGAACGGATCTGTCATATTGCAAATGCTTCCATGGCAAAAAGAAGACATTGAACTCATAATTATCTCCCAACAAATAGTACCACATGTCTTGTTTCATGCTTGACATGTGCCATCTCATAAACTCTCACACCACAGACCTACGCGTGAAACTGACATGTATTCTGTGGATGAGGCCGCACTAAAGAATGTGCCAGGTTAATTCTGAAGCAGAAATACCCATCCAAAACTGATTAACCTAAGCCTGCCCTACCGTCTAATTAACATTCTCATACTAGGTTCATCTTCAGTTACAAAGCAACATTCATATACTGTGAACTGCTCCATGGCATCATGAGATCAGAGGACATTTTAGCATTCAATTTTTAAAAGAAGAAACATTAGGAATATTATCAACTAAACTAATAATTTGAAAGCGGGAACTATGAGCAGAAAAACAGCAAGTCAAAATCAAATTTAATAGACAATAACACTGCTTTTTTTTTTAACCTAGTGTCCTTCATCCTCAGATTAATACAGTATGGCCCTGCAGAAATTTCTAAGACTCAGTCTTGATTTCAAGCCACTTCATCTCTCCAAAATTCTGCTTCAATCAAGGATTAGGAAACTAGAGCACACTGAATTTACTCTTGAAAATGCACACAAATATTCCATTGTAAATTAATATTAAAAATACAATGAAAAAGCAACAAAGCCACATCCCCAAATAAAGATGCTAGAGAAAATTGCAGGTAGGTCATAATAGATGTGAATATCTTAAGATATATTTCCACAGAAATAAATGGAATTTTCATTAAGTGCTTATGTCTTAATTAAACAATAACTAACAAGTGTCCCTTTGGTCAATACCAGGTATGACTAGCTATAGATGCAGAATGTATGTTTACACATTTGGTTTTATGTTCATTTACACAATCACAGATATAATCAGATAATTGTTAATTCCCTTTTATGCTAACATCATTAGTAAGAGTGGGCCACAGCGTGGAAAACAACTCTTCGAGGTAATGGTTACTCTAGATGATCAGATTGATTACACCCAGATGTTACTAAAGCACACTTCTGAGTCTGTCAAGGTATCTGGAGATAATGAGCTGAGGGCTCGGAATAGACTATAGGGAGATGGTCAAAGTGTGGAGAAAGGACCTCATTGAAAAACCTAAGTTGTTAAGAGTCATTGAGTATTTTGAGACTCTGGTCCTTTCCACTGCCTCTCTTAGCTTCCTTTCCAATATAAGGTGGGCTCCTTTGTTCTGTCACATGCCCCCGCTCCCTATAATTTTCTGCTCTGCCTCAGGCTTGCAGCACTGGAAGCAGTCAACCAGGGCCTGAAGCCTCTGATACTAGAAGTCAATCATTTAACTGCTGCAATTATTCCAATGTTTGTCCCAGCAATGAGAGCAATGCTAACCAGCAGGAGTAGAACGTGTATGGAAGGTAGGGTTCAAACAGTACAGCGATATAAATCAACTCCATTACAGGGCCAGCAAGATGGGTCAGTGGGGAAAGGTGCTTGCTCCCAAGTCTGATGACCTGAGTTTGCTTCCCTGGGACTCATGTGGTAGGGGAGGAGAATGGATCCCTGCCAGTTGTCCTCTGACTTCCACACATACATCAGTGGCAGGGACGTGACCCTACAGAAATCACGAGCACACACGTATATACAGACATATGAAACAAATACATATCTAATACATTTTATTTTTACATAGTGGTAAGTTCCACAAATAATAAAAGAATAAATAAAGCATGACAGTCAAATATAAAAGTAGGGAAATCGGAGCACACTAAGAACTAAAGTATAAGAAGTCTTGTCCTGGAGAGGTTGGAGATTCCAGTATGGAAAACAGAACCATAAATGAACTTGATATTTTCCAACTACTAACAGTCCAGTCAGGTGAATGGATGCACAGAGAACAAGATGAAGTGACAGAGATGAACAGGATTCCACACACAGGGTCACTAAGGCACGGCATGCAATCTGGAGTACATCTTACTCCAGTTGTCAGGTTAGGGTTTCAGGGAAGGAGTTTTGTGACAGTTTGTATTTTGAGAAGAGCACTACTCGTGTCTGCAGGGCAGACTGGCACTGAAGCGGAACACGAGCCAGGGAGGGAACTACAGATGTGAGTCATTTGCTAGCATCCTTGCTCAGAACGCAGGGGCCCAAGGTTGGATCCTCGCACTACATAAATCGGGCATGGTGGTCTACACCTGTAACCCCAGCAGGAAAGATGTGGAGGCAGGTGAAGCAGAAGTTCAAGGCTAAAAAAAGTGAGTTCAAGGCCAGTGTAGGTCATATGAGACCCCCATCTCCAACAGAAGGGAAAAAAATAAGAAAGAGACAACTCAGAAAATCACCTCAGAAATCCAAGGATAAAAATGAAGATGGTTCCTAGGAAGATGGGAACAGAAGAGAGGGTTAACTCAAAGGGAGGACACAGCCTGGAAGATAAAGATGATCATCAAGTTAACTACGACAATGCTGCACCATGAAGGGAGCTCCTGCTTTGTCTAAATGGAAACCTCACAATCTACATAATTATACCACTGCCTCCTGTAGCTGGAAAAAGAAAACTACCCAATTCATCACCTATCTTAATAATATTTTAATCATGTTATGCATTAAAGAAAGAAGGAATGAAAGGAAGTAAAGAAAAAAAACACAGGATACACAGAACTCCTCTGACCTTCAGGAGCAGGCCAGTGGGACCCACTGGACATGGCCTTACATACTCTCATCTCAGAGACCATGATGAATAAAATTGGGCAAGGCCACTTCAGAGATCTGCCGGAAAAAAAAAAAAAAGAGCCCAAGACCACTGTATAGTCCACAAAATGCCAAACAGCTCTCTTTGTACTAAATGAAAGACTAAGAAAAATTAAAATGATCCCAGCATCCAATCTCAGGTGTCAACATACTCCCTTAAAAACCCCCTTTCAGTCCAGCCGTCTGAAGCAAAACACCCTCTCCTAGCACAGAGCCCGAGACATCCCAGGTTCCTCACCACACTGTGTTCTCTCCAAGGGCAAGACTTAACAGGACCAACTTCCTTTACTCCAGCTGTACTTGCCTCTGGCTGACCTAACAACATAGAGGATGTCATCGAGATCAACGACAAACATAATTCCTTCTCAAAATCCTTTCTCCCTTAGGTCACTGCTCCTCAATGTTGGTCAAAACAGATGTGTAAAGAGATCCCAAAACGAAGAGTAAAATTATCAAAGAAAATTTTGGTGTGAAAACTGCTGTCAGAATTCCCACCCTTTGAATACAAATGTGATTGACATTTTTGTCATGGATGTAACCAACGGATGACAGTTAAAATGCCCATTCATGAAAATATAAGCCTAATACCACAGAACATGACCTAAAAAATAATTAGTAAGTTATGTAGTAATTATTTTCCCAATAAATACTCATTTTTCAAGTTTCAATGATAAACAAAAAATGAAAGAAAAACCATAATTGAATTAAAAAATCATTTAAATTTCACCTGAAGTATACAAATTTATGTATTACAGTTTAAAGGAAAATACTTAAGATAAGGACTTAAAAATTAATTTTTAAATGCTTACAATTTTACTTCAGTATGAGAAAGGTAGAGAATTAATCAACGTAGCTTATTCTGTTCTCTCTCTTTTTTTTAACTACTTGGGAAATTGGACCATATTAACCAAGTCATCTTTATTGATAAAACTGACAATTCTATATGAATTAATCATGAATTCTATGTAATTCCAATCAATATATAATCATCATTACAATATTCAATCATTATTTAAATACATCATTTACCAAGTAACTCTTAAAATGTATCCTAATAATATATGAGAAAATTGAAACTATATTATACTATCATAATTGCAAAATAAAAAAGGTAAGTGCCAAGAAGTTTCAAAAGATACATTTGCAAAGGTAGCCAAGAATGACGACAGAAGTGGGTAAGCCTAGCACTTGTGAGGTAGAGCCAAGAAGATCAGGAGTTCAAGGTTATGCTTGCTCCACGCTGAATTTATGATCAGTCTGGGCTACATGAGAGCATGCCTCAAAAATGTAAGTAAATAATTGCTTTTAAGTAAGTAAAATTAAGAGAATAAAACAGAGGCAACCTATGAAATGAAACAGGACCCCTCAAAGAGTCCCTAGATACAGTTCAAAGGGCAGTGGAGGAGGAACAAGAAGTAGAT